CCCCAGTGGGAGATGTGCAGGAGGCAGCTGGTCGATGATTCTCTCTCATCATTGATGTTTCTATCTCCCCTCTCCTTTTCTCTCTGAAATCAATAAAAATATATATTTAAAATAAATAAATAAATAAATAAATAAGGGGTGGGGAACCTTTCTGCTATCAAGGGCCATTGGATATTATAACATCATTCGCGGGCCATACAAAATTACCAACTTAAACATTAGCCTGCTACATTTGGTAAAACATTTAATTAACTCACCCCTAATGCCTTGGCAGGGCCAGACTTTTCACGGCCTGCAGGCTGATGTTCCCTACCCCTGCAATGGTTACAAGACTTGGAGAAATGTAAGAAAAAGTGTGGCTACCATTTAGGATTTTCTAGAAATGACAAAGCTGGCCTCAACTAAGTGTTGTTACTTAGCTACTAAATCGGATCAAAGGCTGGAATTTTATCTTGGTTACATGTCATCTGCTCATTTGGAAGGTGAGGTGGCAGAGAAAAGCCACGAGGATTTGTCTGGACAGTTTCATCTCCTAGAAAGTAGTTTCCTTGCAAATGATGATGGACCCGAGTCTGTGCCAGGGTGGCTGTGGTCAGGGTGGAAATGAGACGAGAAACCACACTTGACCTATGACTTCTAAGTGGTCAGGTCTGAGATAGACCAGACTTGAACTTCTGTCTGAATTGGCTTTTGTGTGAGTTTATAAGCCAAGTCATTATTGATGTTTTATACCTTTTTCTTTCACTTGTCTTCAAGCTATTGGAGCAACTTTTCAATATTTGTCATTCCTTCTTTTTTTTCTTTATTGATTAAAATATTACATATGTCTCTTTTTCCCACCATTGGCCTCTCCCTGGCCACTCCCACCTCCCAGCACATGCCCTCACCACCACCCCCACAGTGTCTGTGTCCATTGGTTATGCTTATATGCATGTATACAAGTCATTTGATTGATCTCTTACTCCCCACCTCCACCCTCCCCTGCCTTCCTGCTGAGGTTTGATGGTTTATTTGATGCTTCTCTGTCTCCGGATATCATTTTTTCTTTTGTTGTTGTAGTGTTTGTTGGGGTAAATCATCATGAAAACTAAATAGAGGGGGGAAAACCCACCCCAAGCATCACAAAAATACACTTCACAACCTTCCCCATTTGACCACTGACAAGCTCTTTTTGAATGCAGCTTTATTGATAGTGATGAGGTTATAAACACTACATACATTTTAATTTGTTGTTCCTTATATAGTACCAGAATGTTTTAAGCAAACAAAAAAAAAAATAATTCCCCAAAATTTGCTGAATAAATAAGTTTTTTAAGAGTGTCCAAGGCAAGTATTTTCTTTCTTTCTTTTTTTTTTTTAAGTATTTTGTTTCAAATTCCCTGAGAGGGAAATGTAAATGATCTTTACCCTCTGAATGTGCATGAGAGTAATTCTTTATTATTTAGAACGTTCAGTTCTCATAATTACCATGGAGGAGTGTTTAGGAAACTACGCTATATTTCTTACTGGTATGAAAAGAGATACTGAAAAATAATTCCTTTTAATGCTAGACAATAGTCATCAGTGGCTGGGATGGGCATCGAACTCACTACTCAGAGAACATTTGTTCAGAGAAGAATTCAGAGAAGATTCTAGAAATTCATTTCTTTGAAATGCAGGGAAAAAAATTAATGAAGTGATTTCAGTTTCTTTTATCTAGCAACTTGGATATATTCTGAAGATATTTGGTCAGGATAACCAGCAAAAAATTGACGTTTTAATATCTATTTTCAGGTAAACCTCTATTTATATGCATGCTTATGAAACACACTTACTATGCTCGCTGCTCTGCCTTCAATCATAGAGCCATTCAGTACATCTCACTCCCTTATTATCTCAGTTACCCCTCCTCACTCATAACATTCCACTACCATCTAATCCTCGCTTAGAATTATATGAATCTGTACCACCACTGACTTTCTACTCATAACCATTCTTACAACATAGGAAGTAAAACGAAAACTCATTCAATGCCACTGAAAGCAACTAGGGCGTCAGGGATGACACCTGGGCACCAAGAGCCTACCTAAAAATGGACGGACTAATTAAATCTGGCTTCCTGGAGACTCTCACACCAGGTCTCTGGCCCATTCAGAAAAGGAGAACTTGAGTTTCATTATGTCAGCAGCTGGGTAACAGGCTATTTCTCCGATACACTGACCTGATGCTTTTATTTAATCACAGGGCTCTGGCATTACAAAAATAACAAGTCCTTTTCTTACAGAAAAATAAAGGGAGGTACAGGGTTAGATCCTAAAACTGGGGAGAGTAATTGAATGTAAGCTTAAAACATAATAAAAATGAAATAATTTTCCAGTTGGACAACGTGGAGAAACTGGCAAGATTTTTAGGAGCGACTGCTTCAGTAGTTAAAGAGTATATTTCACTTACATATGAAAGGTGATGCATAATATTTTGATTCTGTATATTTTCACCTCTTTCAGTTGTCAGTGCAGGAGGTTCCAGGATATAAAACTTTCACCAATCCTTATGTTCCATGTTCCTTATGTTCCAATCTGTTCTGTCAGAAATTCTGGCATGCCAAATTCATAGTGGCCTTTAGTTATTGACATACCAGTAATTGTTGAAGCAAAAGACAGAACTGCAATGCACCCAGGCACCTGGTAAGCCCAGGTATGTGTATTTTTTCTGAGTCTTCAGATAAACAATGTAGAGAATACATCAAATAGTCATTTGAAATGATTTTTCCAGCTCTAACATGTCTCCAGTTTCATTTCTAGAAAGCCACTGCCAAGTTCTTGCACCACCTAGCTTATTAAGATCCAATAGATGAAAAATCCTCTATGTTCAGCATCTCTCTTCATGCCTCTGTGACAAATTGTCACAAGTGATTGATTCTTATTTCATTTTACGCCTTAGGTCCTCCATGTTACAATACTTCTGGGATTTCAATGGGAGACAGATCTACTACTGTGCATGAAAGAATTACATCTATTTGCCATTTATGATCTGTAATCCATATAAATCCCCCCCTTTTTTTTCTTTCTAAATTAACAATATACTACAGGCTCCTCAATTGCATGAGAGCATACTTTTATACCAAACTAAAAGATGTTACAGTCACCTCACATAAGCTTTGTAAGTTGTGGCCAAAATAATTGATGAAATAGGAAAAGTTTATTTTACCAATGATGCTGCAAGGATAAAAGATGCTCTATGTTTGCGCATTGGGATTTAAGAGCTCAGCGATTTAACTGGCTCCACACACTAGCTTCTCACACAGCTTTGCTTTCCGGCCGGGGTGGATAAGAAGTTAAGGGACCTGCTCTGCACTTGGGGGAGCTCCTCGTGCTCTGTGTGGGGTGAAGAAACCAGCCCAGTGTTTTTTTAATTATGAATAATGTCTTGTACTTAACTTAGTGTTTTAGCTTTTACCAGAGTGTTACCATTAAATACACAGAGACTGAACTTTTCATAAGGGGCAATGATATAAAATTGTTCCACAAAGTGTACTATATGAACCACTTTTCACAGTTCAAATAAAATATTTTAAATATAAATATTGTAACTCTAACAACAACCTATCTACACAGGTGGGAGAGGATGGGACTAATGAAAACCCAGTTATATTTCCATACAGCTCGTGTTTTACCATTTAAATAGTTAGTTTGTTTTCTTTTTCAAAATCCAGTTACATATAGCCCATAATTGATAGGCTACTTCCTCTCTAAAACAAATAAACGATCAAAGAATAAAGTGATAAATTATAAGAAAGGAAAATATGTATCATTTACTACATTCATTCCCTGGCTCCAAAACTTAGCAAATATGTAAGAAAAAATGATATCAAGTGGATACACTTTAATTTGCAAAGCTAAATTGGAGCAGATGGGGTTAACAATATATACAAGAATAGGTATATGTTATTTTAATATTTCCATGTGAAATGAATGTATTATATTTTTTAATTAAAAAATCAGAAACAATGGCATTAATGAGAAACAATGGCATTTACCAACAGGACAACCCACTCCTCCTGTTATGGCTAAATCCAAGAATTCCAGATGTTTCCATTTTCATCTATGTAAAAGAGTGAGTGAAATCAAATTATTGTTATTGGCTTATATAACCTTCAGGCTATATAAACTTGAAGTTAATGATTCTTAAAGGACATAGTTTTATTTGGAGTTCTTCCTGGAACATACATTAGGCTCAAGGTTGCATTTAGTCATCTTGGTATAGGTTTTAGGGTGAGAGCAAGGCTCCCAAGATACTTGCAATTCCTTTAATAGGGAGCATGGCTTAAAGTGCAAACACTTCTAGGCGAAAGGACAAGTGATTCAAATTTACGCTAGAAACCAAATGACTAGCATCAGTTCCTTCTTCCAGAGCAGACTTGTATGGTGGAAATACACTGGGGCTTGAGGCATGCAGGAAGAAGGGGCTCAGGGATAAACCAAAGGCATCACCTTGACAGCCCCGGGGTGGAATCCCCTTACTTTCCAGTCAGACTTTGCTATAAGCTTTAGGACGCTGTCATGGGATGCCTTTCAACATCCTTCACTCAGTCATGGACAGGAAAAGAAACTGCACTGAAATATGGAATTAAATCTTAAGTCTTTATGGAGTTCCATTTTACAATAAAACCTACCAATGACTATTTTCCGCTTCCTAAAGAAAGAGAGGGGGAAATAAACTTGTAAATGAAGTCACTTACTCACATAAGTGTCATCATAAGTAATAAGTACTTAAGCAAAGAGGGAACTTCTCAAATGTGGGTGTAACCGCTATACGTTTGGGAAATATGCCACGGGGAAGAGTGCCTACAACGACTCTGTCTGCCCCCTAGTGGCCGCTGAAGTAAATGCTATTTTTCTTTGTTGGCAATGGCCCAGAATTTTGCTTTAAAGAAAAAAAAAAAAAAGGAGGTAGATCATGTCATACCAGGAATTAAAACCATCAAGACGTATGCCTCGATATATCTTAAAATACGATCGTTGCAGTAAATGTTACATATTTTCCTTTGCGCTAACTCAAAGGTTAACCACGAATAAAGAGTTGTTCTTGCCGCGCCTCCGCATCTACCCGGCGTCAGATACTGACTGGCACGGAGGACACCGAGCTGGCTCGGGATTCCCGGGTCACGTGGTTGGGCATCGAGAGGGTGCAGCAGGACACGCCCACGGTGGCCTCGGGCAGCTCGTCGTCCTCCGTCCACTCGTTGAGCTCGGGGTGGAAGCACTGGATGCACTTCTTGTACTTCTTCTGGCCCTCGTTCCAGCCGCCCACCAGGTAGGCGCGGCCGAGCAGCGCGGAGGCGCCCGCGGTGCTCACTCCCACCGGCAGCGGCGCCGCGTGGCTCCACTGGCGGGTGGCGGGGCTGTAGCACTCCACGGCCAGCACGTCCACGCGCTCCCCGCGCGCATCGACTTGGCTGCCGCCCATCACATACACCCTGTCGCCCAGCGTGACCGCGCAGTGCCAGCCGCGGGGCGTGCTCATGCTCGGCAGCTCCTGCCACGAGTCGCCGGCCGGGTCGTAGGCGCACGCGGAGCGCGAGTACGCGTTGCCGATGTAGCCGCCGGTCACCAGCACCCGGCCGTCGGCCACCGCGCTGGCGTGGCAGCAGCGCGCCACCTCCAGGGGCGCCTTCGGCTGCCACTGGTTGGTGGAGGGCACGTAGCACTCCACGGAGGCCAGGCTGCCCTCTATGTTGCGGCCGCCCACGGCGTAAAGGAGCCCGTTGAACACGCTCAGGCTGAAGTGCGTGCGCTTCTGGGTCATGCTGGCCAGGTGGATCCAGGAGTTGAAGCGGGGATCGTATCTGGGAAGGGCAGAGGGAATGTGACAGCCTTGTGGTGGCAGCCAGGGAACCCCTGTTACTCCACGAACCGCCACGGGGGAACTGTGACACCATCCATGCGAGGAGGCTACTGACTAAGCGCAGCACCTCGCCCAGAGGCAGGTGTTTCTCTTTCAACCATGGGTATAAAGTGTGACACTTGGGAAAAGCAAGACAGGCATTGGTGACCCCCCCTCCTCCTGTTGATAAATTTACTTCCTTTATTGGGCCCCTTGGAGAAGACCCTACAGAGACAGGCCTGCCACTCCCCTTTCCACTATATCCGAATATCTCTCATCTGGTAGGATCTATGGGTGGGGTTAGGGTGGAAACTGGGTATTTGTGGCAATCAGAAAAGGGAACACTGCCACATTGAAGTCAACGCCACATATCTTCAGGCACCGACATCCCTAGCTCATTCTCATTGCTTAATTAAGATAGGAGTTGACTAATTGGATTTCTCCCTGTCTCACAGCCCCCTCATACATCTGTCCTGGCCATTGCAGCAGTAAACTGAGGTACTCAACCAAGTCTTCTATCACCTGTTTAGAATGAGATCAATGGGACTCGTGTCCAAAAGCATTAACAAAGCCTTAACTTTTGATACTTGTCTATTTTCTACCACTTTTTAGTAGGTGATATTATTTTAGTTGAGGGATATATTTTTTTCAGTGTTCAATGTTACAGTACGTATACCATAAGCATTAAAATCAATATTGCAAAAACAGTGATTTGAGTACTAATAGTTGAATTATCAGTGGAGGGAAATAAGTAGTTATAGTAAAATATGCTTTCCTGAAGTATTTAAACACAGAATTCACTCCATCAGTGTGATGTTCATTCATCTTTGTCCTTTTAACCCCTAAATTGAAACTTAACTAAAGTTGTAAATTAAAGGCTAAAAATCCATTAATTGTTTGAATTCATTAAAGTAACACAATGAAATGAAGAATTGTTTCATCATATAATGTACACATTTTCAGATCTTGCTCATTAGTTATATTCGACTTTGTAAGCATGACTTCCTGAACATTTCATACATGTGGAAGTTTAATTTTTTATCATAAGTATACAAAAGTAATATGGCACTTGAGGCTTTTCTGAAGGATTTACTGTTTTTTACTCTTCATGCTTCACAAATACTTACATTTTCTCTGGGATTAGTCTTCAAATAAGTATTTTAAGTTAATTAGCTGCCACTTTTTTAATGAGCTCATTCTATTTGCCAATTATAAATCTGACAGTCATCAATAAGACACTTAAAATAAATGTATTATTTTAATCTTTCTTACCACATTAGTGTTAAAAACTAAATTTGTACCCAGTGTTTTTCAGAAAAGCAGGATATTGTGAAGAGCCCCAGACTAGCAATGGGAAAATGTGAATTGCCACTTACTAGGGGTATAACCTCTCTGGGCACCAGATTTCTCACATGGAAAATCAGAATCCTCTCTTCTCTGCTCACTTCACAGGCTTATTCAGAAATCTACAGTACATGAATGCACTTAACATAATGTGAAGTGTTATATATAAAATGTCACCTTATTAATATTAATTTACTGAGCTAATGAATGAAGCTAACAGACATGACTAATTTACTTCTATGTCAGGGCAATTTCCTCATCATATTGGACCATTTCAGTTCCTAGCAAAGGATCAAGTACCTGCAGAAATTGCTGACTGCATGTTTGGCTTGATTTCGTGCATCATTCTGGTCTTCACCACCAGCCACATAGAGAAATCCATCCATCACAGCCACACACTGATTAAAACTCTTGGCGGGCATCTCTGTGAGCTTGCTCCATCCATTTTCAGGGTCTCTATACAAGACGTCTCTACTAAGGGACTTCTCAGTAAGGCTTGGGCGTCCCCCAACAGTGATGAGGACGCGACAGCCCCCGCGGATCCTCGTGCGCCTCGACTGCAATGTGTTTTGATGATATGGAAGTAAGTGGTAATTCATAGCATCCACAAGAAGTTTGTGACAATCAGCATCTTGCATCATTCTTGGTACAGACTGAACATAATTGACCAGGTCTTGTGCAGAGATGGTACCAAAGCGAATATTGCTCAAAAGATCTGCAGCATATTTCATTCTCTTTTGGTCAAATTCTAACCATTTGATAGCAGTCTGGAATGCTACTATTTCAGAAGGCAACTGTAGGTCGTCATCTATAAGAAGTTCGTTAATTTGCTCAAATGTAAGTTTCATAAACTGCTCTGACTCTGCAAATTCAAGGAAGTTATCCCGGATAAATTTTTGGGCTGCTGCTTTTGCAGTTTTCAGAGAGTACGTCTCAGCAATGTTAGCAATGTACATACAATTCTCAACATTCATCTCTCGTATCAGAAAATCACTGCACATCTTTACAAGGGTGTGGATCTGAAGATAAACAGCAGCAGAAATAATGCTTCCTATTGTGTACAAGGAGAGAGTCAGCTTTCCGGTGTAGGCATATGCAATGACAGTGGCCAGGCCCAGCGGTGAGATATCGTTGAGATCCACCCTTTGAGTAGATGGGTCTTTTTTTAGGATGTTGTAAAAGTACTCACTGCATGAAGCCATCACTGACTTGTGAACATCAAAGGATTTGGTTTTGGTGCCAATGACTAAGTCGCAAAGGAAGCTCTCTTGGCGCATTTTGCTTAAACCTTCCAGGAGGTTGGGGCCATAAGAAGCATCTGTTAATTCAGAAGAAATGCAGCTAAGGCCATTGCCTCCCTCTAGGATCCCATTCAAAGCATTTAGTTTGCTTAGGGGGCTGTCTTCCACAATTATGGTCATCTCATTGATTTCTCCTTTGTTCTTTCTGACAGTCTTCTTTTTGGGGGCCATGTTGGCAAACACACGATCACAGTCAAGAGCTTGCTAGAAAAAGAAAAAAAGGAATAGTATTTTATTTCATTTATTTTTTATTTAATTTATTGAGATGATGTCTATAATAATAAAAGGGTAATATGCTAATTAGAGCGGACGTCCTTCCTGACGAAGCTGGGGCGGAGGGAAGCCAGCCAGGCCCCGGGTGCCTGTGGGTGGCCAGAGGAGGGAAGCAGCCTGGGTCCTGGGTGCCAGAAGGAAGCTGGTGCTGGCTGCCAGGGGAAGGAAGGCCTACTCTTGCACGAATTTTCGTGCATCAGGCCTCTAGTTGGTTAATAAAACTATATAGATTTCAGGTATACAATTCTACAATACATCATCTGTATATTGTTTTGTGTGTTTACCACCCCCAATCAAGTCTCCCTCCATCACTATTTATACCCCCTTTTGCTTCTTCTACCTCCCCCAAACCCTCTTCCCTCTAGCAATCACCTTACAGTTCCATGAGTCTTTCTTTTTTTTTCTTTGCTTAACACCTTCACCCTTCTCACCCAGCCCCCCACCCTCTCCCCTCTGACAGCTGCCACTCTGTTCTCTGTATCCTCAAATCTGTCTCCACTTTGTTAGTTTATTTTAATTGTTCTTTGAATTTTGAATTGCTACATTATGAAGCATGTGTTTTTTAATAAATTAATTTTTTTAATTCTAAAAAATAGATTTAAGAACTTACATTACACTAGATGCATATTTTATTGACAATTTACTTCAGCATCAAGACAATATTTATCTTATTAAATAAGACCACTCCATAGCCATATTGCCAAGTAATTTTATATAACAGAAAGGACCAAATATTCTCTTATCTAGCTGTACAATAATTATGGAATAGTAGTTAAATATCATTTGAAGGGCTTGGTTTACTCTCATGAAATAGTGAGTTATAACTATTTTGAAGTTTTCCTCAATAATATACTAAAATTCAGGAATCCATATAAAATGTAGAATATATATGTAAATAAATAAATGTAGCACTTAAAAATCAATGAGGAAGGACTTGTAATGATAGCATTAGTTCAGTTATTTCTACTCTACATATTCACTGAGATAATTTCCAAATAAGTTAGATATCTAAATCTCTCTTTCTCTCACACACAAAATTTACACATGAACTAGGGCAAAGTAGTTTCCCCCCCTTAATCTTAGAGTGAGAAAGGCCCTATTAAGTATAACACAAAATTCAGAAGCCATAAAAGAAAAGACTGAAATATCTGAATATAGAAAAACAATGAAAACTTCTACAAAACAACACCAACTGTTTAAAAGACAAGCAACAGACTGTGAAAACAAACATTGGTAACATTTCTACCAGAAAAAAGGCCATAGACACAATATGTAAAGAGTTCCTACAAATCAATTAAAAAACAGACAAAAACTATGATTAGGTAACTAGGTCATTTAAAGAAGATAAAACACAAATAGTTAATAAATATTTTTAAAAGTGAACTAATAATTATTAGGAAATTGTCAACTGAAACCCTTTTATTTTTTGTGATCAAATTTTGTTTGATGGTTAAAATATTTAAAAATATCCATAACATCAAATATTGATGTGGTGCTCTCTATACATGGTTGATGGGAATATAATTCAGTCTTTTGAATAATAATTTGGCAGTCTATTATAAATAAAAACTATATTTATACTTTGACACTAAAATTCTAAATCTAAGAATGCACCTTATAGAGATATAAGGGCTTTTATCTTTCTCATTAAGCTCAAATTGTCAAATTCACATTTATATCCTATAAAATAAAAGGGTAATATGCAAATCAACTGAACAGCAGAATGACCGGTCGCTATGATGTGCACTGACCACCAGGGGGCAGATACTCAATGCAGGAGCTGCCCCCTAGTGGTCAGTGCACTCCCGCAGGGAAAGCGCAGCTCAGCCAGAAGCTGGGCTCACGGCTGGCGAGCACAGTGGCAGTGGCGTGAGCCTCTCCCACCTCCATGGCAGCACTAAGGATGTCCGACTGATGGGCAGGGAATGGGCCTAAGCTGGCAGGCAGACATCCCCTGAGGGATCCCTGACTGCGAGAGGGTGCAGACCAAGCTGAGCCCCCCCGCCGAGTGCACAAATCTTGTGCACCGGGCCTCTAGTTTGTTTATAAGACTGGAGCACATTTGTCCTTACTCATTCTTTCTTGCAGGCAACACCAAATGCATCCTTACCTTGTGAAACAGATTTTTAACCCACTGACATTTTAGTCTTCAAATGTATTTGATTTATGTGGTGAGGGTCCCCTTGTTGGATTTCTCTGAGGAAAATTTTAAAACTTTTGCTCAGCAAGCAGTTATCATCAACACCTCCTGTGTGGGGGCAGCTTTGTGCTGGGGCTGATGGAGTAATTTATGTTAGAGAGACAAAAATGACAAGTACAAAATGACAACAAAAAACTAGGTAAGCAAAGCACAGTGATTCTTTTTTCCAAACAGCTGTTTCCACCATCTAGAGTAGAAGCAGAAATGTATCTTTGAGGAAGCCCTGTCTGTTCTGCTGGAAGAATCCCTTTGGCCAACTTTTTATTCATGTCTTTTTAACTGTGCCTCTTTTATATTTCATTCTTTCATCTTTTACTGTAATATTGCCTTATGGTCAGTTAGTTATGTGGCAAAATGTTTGTGGCAAAGATACTCACAGTGAAACAACCTAGAACCATTTTATTCAACTTACTATACACAAAATACCATTTCAAAATGTAATTGCCAGACAATTATTAATGTGATAGTTTACTTGTTTTCCTACTAACTCTTCAAAATCCAGAGTGTGTGTTATACTTACAACACAGCTCATTTGGGACTAGCTACACTTCAAGTGTTTAATAGCCCCAGGAGACTGACAACCATGTATTAGACAGCAGAGCCCTAGAACAACCTCCTAAAGAATGCAAAGTACATCTGAAAAACCAATAGATAAATGTAGATGAAATTCAAAAGAGGGCAGGAAAGTTGAAACAGAGGAATAAAAATTAGAGGGGACAAACCGAAAAATAACTTAATGTAATCCTAAATCAAATTATATTAATAATTATTTTAAATGTTAATAGATGAAGCATTTTAATTAAAAGGAAAAAGCAAGACCCAAAAATACATGCTATCTACAAGAGACTTACTATAAACAGAGACACAGGTAAGAAAACTTACTATAAACAGAGAAACAGATAGGAAAAAAAAATGGCTAGAAAAAGATTTACCACAGAAATAGTAGGCATAAGAAGACTGGAGTGGCTATATTAATATCAGATAAAATACACTTCAAGGAAAAAAAACAATCAGTGGTGATAAAAAGGGAACTTTACAATAATATATCATCATGAAGATAAAGCAATCATAATGTATATATGCAAATAACAGAGCTTCAATATATGTGAAGGGAGAAATGGGCATTTCCTCAGTCATATTTTAAAATGTTAATTAACTCTCTCAGCAACTGATAGAATAACTAGAAAAAATATCAGTAAAGGTATAGATTATCTGAACATTATAATCACCCAGATTTAATTGATGTTTCTAGAACATCCTTACCTAACAATTCTTCTCAAGTGTATATAGTACATTCACCAACGCAGATTCTGTGTTGGGTCTCAAAACATGTCTTAGTAAATTTAAAAGCATTGAAGTCATACAGAGTATGTTCTCTGATCATACTGTAATTAAATTAGAAATTAATAACAATGAACTATCTAGAAAAGCTACCACTATTTGCATATTAAATAATATACTTCTAAATAATCCATGAATCAAAGAAGAAATCACAAAGGAAATTCGATAATATTTCAAAGTGAATAAAAATGAAAATACAATATAATATAAATACCAGCTCCACTACTTACCTGAAGTGTGAGTTGCCATAGATAAATTATCTAACCTCTTAGAGTTTCCATTGACCTATCTCTAAAGTGAAGATAATAATAGTGTCTGCCTATAGGGTTGTCAGTGAAAACTCAGTGAACAAATATGCATACAGCATTTGGAAGAGAATCTGGCAAAAAGTGAGTGTTCAAAAAATTTGAATTATTTTCATTAACATCAACAACTCTTGTTCGTTGTTTCTTTGGGAGTAAAGCAAGTTTAAGCTTTGGTGTGAAGCAAATCAGAGAAAGCTGCCGCATCATGGAGAAGCAATCATGAGGAGCAGGAGGCGACATGGGACAAGTGTCCAGAGTGACCCAGCTTGAGAATGGGCAAATGGCAACCAGGGGAATTTCTGAAATATTTAAATATTTCTAAGGGAATTTTGAAAATACCAGGGGGAGAAATGGAATTTGTGCAATTATATAGGCTGAGGAACAGATTATTTTTATATAAATGATAAGGATAATCCTGGAAGTTTGGAAAACCTGTGACATTTGGTTATAGGTTGTATAAGCAAAACAACAGATTACATGGAATAGACTGAATCTATGGATTTAAAGATTCAAATTAAAGGAACTATTTTGATGGCTTGGTGTTAGGATGGTTAGGTTTACAGATAAGAATTTTGCCAGTCCTGGTACCAAAGTGTTTTTAAGAGGAATGGATACAGGAGGCAGAAGGCCATTAGAAGTGGAGGAGATACCTGAAGCAGGAAGGCATGACTCAGCATAGGATGCACAGACAAAGATGCCTGAAGTCATGAGGGAGACAGTTGGGCAGATAATATTAGGCCAAGACATACAGGCTCTTGTATGCCAGGAAGGGCTGGAACGTGATAAGTTAGTATGTAATGGAGAAGGATTCAGAAATCTCCATGAAGGAAGAGGTCAACCTGATGAAATCAGTGAAAGTTCTTCCATGGCCTTCCTTCTCTTATTTCCTGTTGCCACTTCTCTTCCCTCCATTGTCTGGCCTTCGTGCTGACCTTGGCATTGCCATGAAACCCTCATGCCCTTCTCTATCTGAATGTTCTTGCCTGTGTCCCATTTCTCCAGGGCCCTACTCAGTAATACATTAACTAGTCTGGCAAATGATCCACGCCAATCAATTAATGAGCACATATAC